GCGCCGCACCACAGCAGGAGCAGTGATAACGATGCTGCACCCCCCCCCCCCCAACCCCTCCCTTGGGCAAAACAGCATGAATTTGCTCATGGAATAAGGCAAAGAAGGAGCAAAAGCAGCTCAAAATGTAAAGATTCATCGTTCAGCAATGAAATATGCTGGTGCTACAGCTCCTTTTTTTCATACACACAGCTCAGAGCATCTTCAGCCCCTCCTGCAGCAGCATGGCCACGGCACCGCATTCCCCTTTCATACAGGGGAAATCTAATAAGGCAGGGGGGCAGCAGGGATTTGGGGGGGGGACCACCCCACGGGGGACAGGCTGGCCCTGCTCCCCCCTGCCCGTTTGCCGCCCCGATGCCGCGCGGCGTTTGCCAGCTGCGGGCTCTCGGCAGGGCAGGCAGCCAGCGGGCTATATTTAGCAACAGCAACAAAACAGGCAGCCGAATCAGCTGACTGGAGGCAGGGAGACCGATGCTCGGGTTAGTTTTAGACAGCACATATTCTGTCCTCGAAACAGGGAGGGAAGAGACGTGGGAGCTCAGAGCCGCTCGCGCCTCCGCACCCGGCAGCAGCGCAGGTAAGGGGGGGGGCATGGCAAAAGCTGGGGTCTGGAGGTGGGCTGCATCCCAAATATTGCTGGGAAGGATGCAGGATGGATCCAGGATGCTCCAGGCGTGGCCGGGAGGGGAGGACGGTGGGTGGGAAGGTGACCTCGGCACGGCGCGGTGCTCGGGGAGAAGGGGATGGCATCCGGGCTGGAACCAGTCCATCCCATCGGAAGAGTTTTACTGTAAATAGGTAATTTAATTTCCTTCCGGAGGAAGGGCACGTTAACAGGACTCGGTTAACGATTAGCGCTATCGTTAAGTCAACATGACATTATCTGAAGCATCCGGCTGCCCCCTCGATGGCGGGGTCAGAGCAGGCCCAGGGGCTGAGCCTGGGCACAGGGTGGGGGGAAAAGCAGAGGAGCAAGCCCTAATGAAGGGCTTCCTAATGAAGAAAGGAGCAGGCAGGATAAAGAAAGAGAAATAAAAAGGCCATACGGTTTAAAACAAGCATCATGTCCTGCTCTCAGCCCAGCAAATCCCAGCTTGGCTGACTTTGCCAATAGCACCTGAGATGGAAACCAGTAAAAGCCAGCAGCTGCCGGGGGAGGGATGGACACCCTGCGAGCTCTGCCCTGGGCTGCTCACTTCTGAGCTCTGTATGTGATCTGCAGCCTCGCAGGGAGGTTCAACAAAGCCAGATTTATTTCCAGCAATGACAAGCAAGGCATTAAAATAGCTAGCAAAGCACTTTTGTGTTTAATCACACAACAAAGCTATATTGTGTCGGCGCATTGTTCACATAAAAAAATCCATCGGAAGGGGATAGTTTAAAAAAAAAAAATTAGGATCCAGGCTATGTGGTCATTTCTGCCAGAAGGGGAGATAAGCAAAGCACAGGGGAGAGTATTTTGAGAAAAAAAAAAAAAAAAAATTGAAAAAATCAGTACAGTTCACAGTGTTTGCAACAAGAAATTTTTGTAAAAAAGGCTTACCTGACTAGTTGGAGCAGTTTGGTGGCAATCCATCCTAAAAAGAGTTGAGGATAGCTCCTGGAATATAAAGGACGTTAATTAAATCCCTTTGACTCTACATAAGCATTTAGGGAAGGATCTGCCACTCCATAACTACATTTATAAACCACTGGCAGAGATGAAAATGAAGGTGTTTGTACATTGTCACCTGCGGCTTCCAGAAGAGATGAGCTGTAATGTCACTCTCTGTGATGCTCCCCATGGGGTGGGTCAGCTCCTCTCCTCTTGAGATCAGCTCTTGCCTGGTCAGACACCACCTGAAGTCAGAGCCCTGTTAGAGTGAACAGACCAGCTGAGAAGTATTAAATAAGGAGAGTAGTTTGTCCTTTGTTGCTACAGCCCAGACACTGAGCCGAGCTAGTGTCCCTGCACCACGCTGCTCCAGCTGCTGGCCCCACGCATGGCTTCAGAAGGGAGCACCATTGCTGATGTCTTTAATGAACCTTCTATTTTCTACTGCATTAATCAATTGGCTTCTTTTGTGTATATGGGCTCTTTATGAAGCCACGGGTATAAAAGTACTGTCAGCAAACTTTTAAAAGTTTGGAGTCTTGTTTTGGAGTCTTCTGTTTGCTAGAAGAAAACAAGAGGTGGCTCAGGTAGCATGGTCTTTACAGAAACAAGCCCAGAATTTCTTTACCTGGCTTTCACATGCTGATCATGTCTGGTCTGTTCTTTGCAGCCATGGCACCCCGGATAAGACTGAGTCTTTCAAAGCCTCTCCCAACCATACGTGAAACCCACGAGGAAGCAATGGAAGATTCAACCAGCAACCCGAAGCGCATCGGAAGCACTGCTGCCAGCCCAGACTCATACTCCAGCGATGATTACGTTCAATCCATCTGCCACCTCGCCAGACCCACCTTCCCGGGCTTTCCTGAAAGCATCCGTAAGGTTCAGGACAGAAAAACCCTGAAGACCCTTGACGACAAGTCATGGTCCCCATCACAGCAGGAAACATCAAAATGTAAATTGTCCGACTTCATCTCAAATGTGGTGCCGCTGGGAAAAGTCACACCTGCAGAAGGTGACTTCTGGTCCAGAGAAGACCCCCTGGCACAGATTTACACCCAGGCAGGAAAGCTCTGTTCCTCCAAGGCTTCCTTGTACGGTAAAAGCTCCAGCACTGGTTACTCACAGTGCAACTCCTCCTCCCCAGACAGTGAAGTTCATCCCCCAACCATGAAAGGAAAAGCCACAGGAAACCCCAATTTGCAACGAGTGCTCAGTTTTCCAAGGCTTCCCTCCCCAAGACCAGTGCAGAAAGAAGGGGTCTGCTCAGAGCTGAGGTATCTCAGAAGAGCTGAGGGAGCAGTTTTCGGGAGTAACCAGAGTCAGAAAGAAACCGGCTCCATGTTCGTTACCAGTGAAGAGCCATCGCTGTGCTCAGCCAGAGGGAAGCTGCTGGGAAACCCGGTCCTGCGCTGTTCTGTAAGAAAGCAGAGTTGTTTGTTCAGTACAGAAGGCACCGATGAAAAAGAAGGGAGAGAAACTTCTCAAAGTGACCAAAACCTAGCGGGTGGTGTCCCCACTAAGCAGAGATACCCTGAGTCCTTCCAGGGAGCTAAAAAAGCCATGATTCATAACTGGATTTCAGAGCACAGATGCCTCTGGAAAGAAGCGAAGCTAAAAGCTTGTTTGCTCCCAGCCATTGCTGAAGTGTGAAGAAATAGCTGCTCAGAATAATTTTATTCACAAGAAATAACCACCCTGTGCTCTAGAAGCTCTCCCTGGAGTCCCTACACAGAAAACATGGCTTGAAATGTGCATGCAAGTCAGGCAGTTTTGTGACCCATCATATCCCTCTTCAGTGGGCAAAGGGACGATTCAGAGTCTCATCCACTACAGAAATGGCAAGTAATTCCCATTCTGGAAAGGCAACAGTTCATAAAGCATCTCCTTCCACCTATTGCCCAGAACTGCCCTGAGCACGAAGAGCTGGAGAACATAAACCCCATCTGTTCTGGAGGAGAAGAAATCTGCGGGAACGTCAAACTACTGGTGTTTTCTGGCAAATGCTGAACAGCCAGATGTTTCTCACTCCTGGGTACAGTTATTCTGCAAGGAACAGTTTGACCGATGTGTGGACAGGACTAAATGAGCTCTCTCTGACATATACATTTACCAGGAGACCCACTGTAGATCATTCCGTCAAGACCAGGGTGCCACCTGGCCACCTGTTAGTGCAGAACCATAAAGAAATAGCTTTAAAAAAAACGTAAGAAGTCTTTTATGAGGATTTGCTAGAGGGCAAAATGGAGAATATTAGAACTCTCATGAGTAGGGATTTTCCTCTTGCTTACCCCTGGCACAACTCTGTTCCCTTTGCTCCGGGATTTACCCTTGGCAGGAGGAGAGACAGGAGCCAGTGCTGTGGCTGTCCTGGAGCTGTCACAACCTGCTGTGCCAGCTCTAAAAACCCCAGATGAAAACTCTTATGAGCAGGGATTTTCCTCTTGCTTACCCCCGGCACAACTCTGTTCCCTTTGCTCCGGGATTTACCCTTGGCAGGAGGAGAGACAGGAGCCAGTGCTGTGGCTGTCCTGGAGCTGTCACAACCTGCTGTGCCAGCTCTAAAAACCCCAGATATCATGCTGGTGTCTGCCCTGTTGCCCCCACACCAACCAGGCTGCACAACGCGGGCACCCACAGGGTTTGCTGTTGGGGTGCAGGAGCCCCAGGATCTCACAGGAGCTCTGCAGGTTCAGCGGCACCACAAGGAGAGTGGCTTTGGCTGGGGGGCAGCCTGGGGATGCTGGGCTGGCCTTCACAGGACAAGGATGTAAAATAATCATTTCTGGGCTTCCCCTCATATCTGTGCTTCTGTGTTCTTACCTACCTGACCATGTTAATGCTGCTGACCATGCTTCCCCTGCTGCTGTCACACCGAATACCACACGTGCATGTTACAACCATCCAGCACATCACATACACAAACCCACCCAGTCGCTGTTGGTGCTGCATGGGATGTCTGTAGGAAAAGAATAATTCCTGGACTGCTGTGAGATCCCGGCACGGCGTGGTGAGCACATGGCCAGGGTCATCCCTCGCTGCTGCACGGAGATACCTCCATCCAGAGAAACTGTCTGCCGTGGTCAGGAGAACCCCACACCTTGGGTACAGCACCCTCCAAGCCAGCCAGGAGAAGTAGGTGAAAAAACTGCAAAGCAACACTAGCATCATTATTATTACTACTAGTAGGAAAAAAATCTTTTTGGCACAGAGGAGAGCAGAGGGACCGGGCTGTTTGTTCAACTGCAGCAAAGATGGGGAATACCATTGGAAAGCTGCAATTGCAAAAATGCTCACAAGTGATTTCTAAACCACCCTCGAGCAGATTAAATCAGGAGGCAACTTCTGCTCAGCACCGACGTGAGTGTAAATAAGCTCGAGGATCCAAAGGTGAGCAGATTTGAGCTTCTCATTCTCACATCTCTTACCTCAAATATTTTTTCTCCTGTTGAAACTCATTAGCGCTATGGAACTGAACTGCTGCTCATCTTCGTTTTGGAACTAACCACACAGCAAGAACAGAAGTGAAGAAGGCTCCAGCATTTATTAGAGCTGATGGAGAGAGCTGGGTGAGGGAGGTGCCAGCCCGCTCTGCCTCCTCCGCATCTTTCCCTTCCTTCTGGGGTTAACGCTGGGATTTAAGGGATGCTTGTCCTCACTGCCCTGCTGACATTTTAATTTCTCTCTGTGTGAGTATTTATGACACTAATGCCTAGCAAGTCTTGTGCCAACTGCATGTATCACTGCTTTTGACAGAGAAAACAAATAAAACCCTTCCACTGAGCTGCTGTTTCTGTTACTGCAGATCCACAGGTGATTATTTCCGGTGCAGGGCTGGTCCACAGCACGTGAGCTTGAGAGCTGGGTGAGGGAGGTGCCAGCCCGCTCTGCCTCCTCCGCATCTTTCCCTTCCTTCTGGGGTTAACGCTGGGATTTAAGGGATGCTTGTCCTCACTGCCCTGCTGACATTTTAATTTCTCTCTGTGTGAGTATTTATGACACTAATGCCTAGCAAGTCTTGTGCCAACTGCATGTATCACTGCTTTTGACAGAGAAAACAAATAAAACCCTTCCACTGAGCTGCTGTTTCTGTTACTGCAGATCCACAGGTGATTATTTCCGGTGCAGGGCTGGTCCACAGCACGTGAGCTTGTGACACGCCACCCAAACACCCTCTCACCCCACCAGGTCACTGACAGAGCCAGCTCCCGGGCTCTTTCCCCACACATTTCAATGTCTTGCAAAGCTTTTCTGCCTTGTCAGGGTCAGGCCTTCTGTGCCCAGGACCCAGGCAATCACTGAATCACAGAATGGTAGGGCTTGGAAGGGATCTTTGGAGATCATCAACCCCCCTGCCAAAGCAGGTTCACCCAGGGCAGGTTGGACAGTAACGTATCCAGGTGGGTTTTCAATGTCTCCAGAGAAGGAGACCCCACACCCTCTCTGGGCAGCCTGGTCCAGTGCTCTGCCACCCCCAAAGTAAAGCTTTTCCTCATGTTTAGATGAAATTTCCTGTGCTCCAGTTTGTGCCCATTGCCCCTTGTCCTGTCACTGGGCACCACTGAAAAGAGTCTGGCCCCAGACTGGATAAATCCTGTTGTGAAAAGCACAGCCCTCACCTTCTCCACCCTTACCTTTGTGGGGAATGAGCACACCCAGCCCTGTGACACCGCTGGGCCATTAACTGCTGCAGCAGCTCCTGGGATGAGGCAGTTCCACAGCCCTGTAACATCATCCATCTCCTGAGGGGCTGATGTGTGGGGCAGGCCCTCACCCCACTGCTGCTGCCATCAGCTGCCCCAACAGCCCCACTGGTCCTCTGCCACCGAGGGCTCCCCAGAAGGTGGCCCAGAGCTGCCAAGGGAGCCTGCAGTCCTACCAGAGGAAAATAAACAGGACTCATTAGGCTGAGGTGACATGGCGTGCAGTTATACAGCCCTTTTCTCCCTGCTCCCCCCCGTCGGTGACCGCAGTTCCCCATGGATGTACCCCTGGGGCCGTTGGGAAGTGCTCTCCCTCTTTTCCTCCCTACAGGAGTGGTTGAGGAATCAGCAGCTGGGATAAACCTGCAGAAGTCACAGCCTGTTCAGAAGCTCTCCCAGACAAGAAAGAATACCTTATCTAGGAATTTAGGTCACAGAGCGAGATAAAAGCCATGCTGCTTCCACGGCCCATCTCATGGCAGCCTCTGCATTTGAAGTCACTGGCAGAAAAACCTCATTTATTGAGATCGTCAGAAGTGCCGGCGGGATTTGGATTAATTTGAAGGGGGAATTGGTATCCAAACCCCGCCGGCAGCTCGCAGTCTCAGCCTTCACAACCAGTTCCTAAGCTTTCTACAGGGTAACGTGCCATTTTCCTTGCATGATCGTGCAGCTTTTCACTGCTGCAAACAGTAAATACGTTTGGACACAGAAAATCACGACCAGAATTTATAAACCGGAGACGGCGAGGTAGAAACCAAACTGTCCCTCTCTTCCCTCAAATGCTTGTCTTTTAAATGGCAAAGACACTGATCAGCTCAAGGCAGAGGGGAGGGAGCAGAGGCTCACTCATGGGCTCTGATGATTAGCCCTGTGCTATTAGTAGCCCTGTGCAATGCAGAAGCAGCCCAGAAACTCTTCCAGCAGCCACAGCACATGGAGATACCCCCCCCCCAACACCGCAGGAGGGGGGCTCTCTGTGCCAGCACGGACAGCTGGCAAGACAGATGTTGGTCAGAAGCTAAAATATGAGCCAGCAACGTGATTACAGACAGGGATGGGTCACGAGCTGGTCTCTCTCAGTGAGGGACCGTGATGCCCAGAGACAAGCAGGAGCAGATTTAAGGGCTGCACAAGAAGAGGGAGATGCAGGAGGGGGTGTGAGCGAGGTTAGGAAAAGCAGCTTCTAAAAAGGTCTTTAAATGTCAGCTCTGAAGTTAGGATAAAAGCAGCTATTCATGTTTTAAGAAAAAACCCAACCCTAAAAGCTCCAAGAGAAAACACAGTGTCTAATTTAAGGGGATCAGATCCCAGCCCGAGGCAGAACACAGGGTCCTTCTGCTTCAAGCAGAGGCTTTGTGGATAGTGCATCAGGCTCTCCCTCTGCCCTGAAGTGCCTGCAATTGGGCCTAATTGCTTGTTGAGGGCATATTTTAATTAACTTTGAGCCTTCCTGGGTGGAGAGTAATGATAAATGGTGCACAATGAAGTTAAACTGCATTTAGTGACTAAGCAGGAATCCCTGAGCTTTGAATGGAAAACTCGCCTGTCCCATCAGCAGCGTGATTAATGGCAAAGGGGTTTGCCTTTGCAGCTGTAACCACAGGCAGAAGAGACATCTGAAAGGATGGCTGAAAGCTTCTCTGCTTGTCTTTGAAGAGTCAGATCATTCAAGCACAGCTCTCGGCCTTGCTCTCCAGAGCCCACATGTGTTTTTGTGGGTGGCATCACTTATGTGGGCCACAGTTGACAGCGGCGATGACTCCTGAAGCACCACATCTCGGGCTCGTGGCCTCTTCCCGTGCTCTGGGATTCTCAAGTGTGACTTAATTTGCCTGGCAGGAGCCAGAGCTGATGAAAAATACATGTTGTGTAAATACAGATAGAATGTTCCTGGTAATCACAGCTTTCCTGGAATTAATGCTCCTGGAGGCAACAATTCCGAGGACTGTTGTGAGGAGCTGTAGGAAAACTGGGCATTTTTGGAATGCCATCTAGTTGCTACATAATGTTTGACCAAATGCCATTCAAAATCAAAGGGGGTCCCTGAGTGCTTTGGAATGGGCCTGTAATGGGAATAATTTTCAGCTGCACAGATTTTTAATAGCAGCTGATGTGGAAAATCAAATTATTAGTTTACTTTTTTGTGTGTGTTAGCATTTTGCCAACCGTTTCTTGTCTTTGCTTTTAAATTAGTCCATCTGAAAGCCCATCAGCTGGCTGTGAGCTCAGCAAAAGCCCTGTGTTAACCACCACGTTTTATCTGCCTGCACTTCACAAACTCGCAGTGACTTTTCCTCTCTGCCATCAGCAAGTCTCTGCTCTGTGAAGCGGGGTGGTCACGCAAGGTGAAAGCAGAAGTAGCCAGCAGGGAGCCTGCCACATCTCATCTGATGGTGCAAGATGACATCTATGAGTCAGTTGAGCTTAGCTGAACGGTTGGTTATTTGTCCCTTGGTCACAAATATGCAGGAGAGAAAAATGGCTTCTGGTTTATACCCGCCGTGCCGTACTGCAAGTTTTATACCTTTCCAACTCACTCGATGGAGCATCAGGTGGAGCTAAACTGGCTCGTGGCTCAGCTTCAGGAAAGGGAGATGCCACATCTCAAGTGGTTGGACATCACACGGACATCAAAACCACACATCTTGTGGTTGGACTCGATGATCTTGTGGTTGGACTCAATGACTCAAAGGTCCCTTCCAACCATGAAGATGTGAAGGTGTGTGATCCTGTGAGTGTCCAGACTCCAAAGCAATTACAAGACAAGAGAAATACCAACTTTGCTTGAGATGCTCTTCACATTCCCCCTCAGCTCATGCTATAGAAGCATCCAACTGCACAGAAGATATTGTGACGTCTGCTCACAGATGGTTTTTGTGGGTTAGGGAAGCCAACTGCCTGCCGGGCCCTGGTCAGCTGGGTGCTGAACATACGGCAAGCGGCCATCCCCGACTTGCTGAGCCTATGAGCCATTCAAACCTCATTAGTGAGATTAGCCGGGTGCTTCAGATTAAGGCTGATTTGCATGAAGAGCAAAAGAACCTGAGCGTGGTCCTTGCCCAGAGCAGAACCAGCACTATCAGTCAACAACAGCCCTGGTCTTTGGGGCAAGCAAATGTAAGCACAGGCTTCATCATACCCAGTTTAGGGCCCAGAAACACCCAAGCCCTACTCAAGACCCCAATTTGAGGATGTCTGAGCAGCTGACACTGCAATTAGCACCAATTTGGCAGTGATGGCAAAACGAGTCTGGGTTCCTTCAAGCAGGTACAGCTGAGCTGGAGAAGCTGGAGCTGGGGCTCTGCTGCTGTGCCCAGACCCGGTTCAGCCCCAGGACTCCCTGGAACATCCCAGTGCCACTTCTGCGAGGTGCTACGAGGTGACACACAGCACGGCCAAGATGCCATGATGTCCAAGCTGCTCAGTAGACGTGCAGGTGAGGCACATGAGGTGTCCCTCTCACGGGATGGCAGCACAACCTGCCCTTGGACACCAGTTGCTGTGATCATGCTCAACGCCACCTCTGCTCCAAACTAGTTTGTTGGAACAAGGGTACACAGATGGAAAATCAAAAGTAGACTATTCAGAGAGAAAGCACCAGGCCTTCTTGCTGTGCAGGGTCAGCTCCTGGAATTAATTGCCGCAGGATGTCAACAAGATAAAACTGAGCAGGATTCGAGAGAGGATTAGACAGCCCTGTGATCAGGAACATTTGTGCAATGCTAACTGGGTCAAAGAAATACAAGAGAAATTAAGTGTTGTGCTTCCCTGAAGGGCTGAGCTGGTACCAGCTGGATTTAAAACACATTCCTCCCCACCTCCCCTCCCCGATCTTTTTATAGTAACAAGCAAATAGCAGGATCTATGGCAAAGTCTCTTCTCTTTTCTTAGAACAATAAAGCATCACCTGCCCCAGGAGGTCCCTGAGAGCCAGAGTGGTGACTGATCCACGCTACGGCGTGTGGTGAGACCCTCCCCTTGTGATTTTAAAGATAGGAAATTGAAGATTTAACTTCTCTGCTGCCTCCGTGCTTCAGATCAAATCATTTACCAAGAAGAGAATAAGCTGCACAATAAACTCGCTGCAGATGAACTGGTTGAGCCTCCACACTGAAAACCTTTTCTAAGCATAATTAACGAAATTAATTATTCAAGAATATGATGGCATCAAGCAGAAGAACATGCAGGGGTAATAGCTGAATCCAAAAGCCAATATTAGCAGCATCAGAGGGAAGTGTCGGGGGGGCAATGGTTTATAGCACTAAAGAGAGAAGAAATTGGTTCTTGCTGCAGGTAAGCAAAGCAAAAACCCCAGTGAAACATGGAGGTCACTCTTCAGGTGGGCAAAAACACACTGGCAGCTCCATGGAGGT